TACCAGTTATAAATGGTAAAGACAGTCTACAAAAAAAGATGACTTCATTTAAGAAAGCTCTCATTAATGTTTATATTATAGAGAAAATATGTCCAGATAAAAATGCCCAACTGTTGCTAATTAGATTAACATATAATCACATTTCTGAGCCTGTGTCCCTGAGAAGTGTGTTTCTTCATTCTGTTTCAGTTACATTATTCTGTCTTGGGTTGATAGGATGGTGAGCAGGTTTTCTATAGGGCTGGACAGATCATCAAAGGAGTCCTTTCTAGACATGGCTCTCCCTCCCCCCCAAAAAACCTCAAGCACTTCTTGACAAAGGACCAACTTGGAGAAGCCACTCTGCTTTGGTGCAGATGATAACAAAAATATCAATATAATAGCATATTTAGCATATTTAGAACTACTTAGCAAAGTAAAACCCGGTTCATTCTGAAAACTGGTTATTTTATCTTTTAGGAATGCTTCACAAAGGAATTGTATTGCCTTCTGTTCTAAACATCAAATGGACAAACCTCACTATTGCCCTTTCTGAGGTAAGCATAGATGTAGAAATCCATCCTCCATTGACACAGAAGTAATCATCTTCTAAGAGGAGGAAGTGATTGTTCTTGATATACATTATGTATGTCATACTTCCTTCTGTTAATCAAGTTTCCATGTATGTCATTAGGATAAAACATGATATGCCATAAAATTGCACATATACCCATAACTTTTCTTTTGTAGGGTGGCTTAGTGATATCGATGTGATCAATCCAATGAAACTGCATCATCAACAGCATCCAGTAATCAGAGGACATTAAAAGAGATCACTAATTGTAACTCTTAACACGTTCTCATTTTTCAGTTTCTAATTTTTAGAAAGTTAAATGCATTTCCAGTATATCATAATACATTATACATGTAATTCCCAAATGTGCAAAAATGGAGAACATCTCTTGGTGAAAGAGTCATCTTTAAAATGCCTTGTTACTTGTATGAAATGTTATTTTATGATTGAGATTTTGCATGTAGAGAAACAAGTCAAGTAGACAATGTACAAAAATTCATACCAAACTGAATACTGAAAGTTACATAGTTAGATTTTAATTAATGTTCTGAATGTTATTGGTGAATATCTGTCTAGGGAGGGCTATGCTTTAACCGTATTACCTGGTTTGTGACAACATGAAACCTGTAGGTTGAAAACATCCATGATTGTATGATGCAATGTGAGTCCACCCAGTCTCATTCCTGATTGAGTTGGAAACTTTCATATTCCCTTTTTCTATACATGCATCTATATGTATAAATTTGCACATGAAATATTATTTTCATTTAGAATGATAGCAGTGATTATGATTGATAATGATCCAGTAGCCTCTAATTATAAGTGTAAAAGCAAAGTCTATTGTTCTCATTACTAGATTTTAATCCCTCCACTTATCTATCTATCTGTCTCAAACCTACTTAATACTCAAGCCTCTAGTTTACTCACAACAACAGTGAAGTGGATCAGGCTGAGAGAGAGAGAGTGATTGACCCCTGGTTTCATTGCTAACACCTCAACTATTATACCAAACTGGCTCTCAGATTTCAAATCTGTTGCTATATAATCTCACCAACTCCATCTGTGTTGGGTATTTGAATTCAAGATTCTGTTTATCTGATGCTTGGATTAATGCCAGGGTTTAATGGCAGTATATTACTCAGTTTCCAGAGTTGTTTGACTTAAACATGAATGCAGTAACCTAGATTGATAAGCACTGTGACATGTGTTGCTTATTAAACATGCCAAATATTTTTCCCCATCATCTCTGAATTGACATTTTGCCCTAATGTTATGCTGAGAGAAAAAAGGGAGCAGCTCCCTATAGTCTCAGGTAAAGGCTTGCTGTATTTACTATTCAAAAGACATAACAAGATTTGTAGAGTGAGAAATAAGTGTCAAGCTCATAGCACACAGAGTAAAGACTTTCTTTAGTTTCCTCCCCTCTCCTTGCTGTGAGCATCTGTGCCCTAACTTTGGTGTAGAGTCAGAAACTCAAACATAATGCTAATAAAGGCTCAAAGGAGGAGTTGCAAAAGAATTACCATAATTTCCGGCGTATAAGATGACTTGGTGTATAAGACAACCCCTGACTTCAGCGCCAATTTTAATGCTTGCGAAAGTCGTCTTATACACCGGAAAGTATGGTAACCTTTTACAGACGAGATGGGACAGATCACAGCTGCTCAGTGACAGGTTTTTTTGAAACAAATATATACTGCTCAAAAAAATAAAGGGAACACAAACGTAAAGGATCCTATACGTTTGTGTTCCCTTTATTTTTTTGAGCAGTATAGTTTTCTGCCCTTTCTCACTTGACCAAACCCCTGGCAAAGATTAAGGAGAATCAGCCAATTGCAATTTGATTGCATCTTGGCCCATCTAAAAGCAGGGTCTTTCAGTACTATATTTCTCCAGTGGAAACTGTCAGATTTAATTATAAATGGATAAAAATATATGGCCTCTTATCCAAGCTTACTCCAGAGTTTTCTAGTTCTGGAGTTCTACTAAATGACAATCTGGATTCAGTCATCCACCTTCATCTAGGACTATTAATTGCAGCAGACTTCTAGGCAAAACAAACACTGGATGATTTGTCCTTAGTCACCTTTAGTTATAATTAAGAAATATGCTGCTCATAAATATATGTAAATAAGAAATCACAAGAAAAAAATGGATACTTCCTTTTTAATGCTTATCTTTCGAACTATCTTTCTATCATGCTAGATTTCAAATGATTTCAATGCATCTTCAGATATTCTGTGTAGGTTTTAGAAACTGAAGGAGTTCTGAAGGAGCCTACTTAGTCACATGATATGCTGGGGAGACAGGCTTGCCAATAACTAATTCTGAAGTTCTAGAATATTCTCAGTGGGGCAAAGAATTGCTGTTAAGTAGGTAATCTTGTCTTCATCATAATAGTCTCTCAACTTCAGATATTTTGGGATTGTAATTCTTAGCTACTCCAACTTTATGTGCTAGATAATGGAAATGCAATTTCAGCATGCCTGGAGGGAATTAGGTTGGGAAGTCTTACTGCATAAGTACTTACTTTTACCATTCTGGCACTGAGCAATACATTGGAGTTATTGACCTCCAAAGTTTCTTCCACCTGGTATTCTGAGTTTAAAAATCAATGTGGGTTGATTTTTCTTGCAAAAACAAAGTATTTTTCTTCTGGAAAGATATAGGGACGTTTTGATAACAAGACAGTCTGACAATGTGTATAGCACTTGAGAGCTTAAGGATGAAGCATTGTTTGACTGCCTTATCTCATAAACAATGATTGCACAGTTGCAGCGTGGTCTAACCAAGCTGATCACAGATGACAGATGATGGATGTGAATTTAATAGCCATTGATTTTTCTACCTGTCTTAGAACTAGGACACAGAACAGACAATACAGCTCCTAAAAAGATAAGACTCAGGTGATATTTAATTGCAAACATTAGTGCTACTAAATTGTAGAACAACTGATTCACTGTGGTTCAAAAGAAAAATCATTTGTTGGTGAGAGAATGTTCAGGGCCCAATAGAAGGGGATATTCTACCGTATGTTCCCTAGTAAATTTTGCGTAATGTATTAATGATGTATTGTAATCTGCTTTGCCGGGAGAAATATCAACAACCTAAGATATGCAGATGATACCACTCTAATGGCAGAAAGTGAAGAGGAACTAAAGAGCCTCTTGATGCGGGTGAAGAAGGAGAGTGCAAAAGTTGGCTTGAAACTCAACATTAAGAAAACCAAAATCATGGCATCCGGCCCTCTCAATTCCTGGCAAATAGATGGGGAAGAAATGGAGGTAGTGACAGATTTTATTTTTCTGGGCTCCAAAGATCACCTCAGATGGGGACTGCAGCCAAGAAATTAAAAGACGCTTGCTCCTGGGGAGGAAAGCTATGGCAAATCTAGACAGCATACTAAAAAGCAGAGACATCACCCTGCCAACAAAAGTGCGTATAGTCCAGGCCATGGTTTTCCCAGTTGCAATGTATGGCTGTGAAAGTTGGACCATAAGAAAGGCTGAGCGCAAAAGAATTGAGGCCTTTGAACTATGGTGCTGGAGAAGACTCCTGCGAGTCCCTTGGATTGCAAGGCGTTCAAACCGGTCAGTCCTAGAAGAGATCAACCCCGACTGCTCTTTAGAAGGCCAGATCCTGAAGTTGAAACTCAAGTACTTTGGCCACCTAATGAGAAGGAAGGATTCACTGGAGAAGAGCCTAATGCTGGGAAAGATTGAGGGCAATAGAAGAAGGGGACGACAGAGAATGAGATGGCTGGATGGAGTCACTGAAGCAGTAGGTGTGAATTTAAATGGACTCCAGAAGATGGTAGAGGACAGGAAGACCTGGAGGAACATTGTCCATGGGGTCGCGATGGGTCGGACACGACTTCGCAGTTAACAACAATCTGCTTTGTAAAAAAATCTTTTGTGAGAGTTTTCAATTTTACTACCTAATCCCAAAATATTGGAGAACATTATTTGACTTACTCTTGGTGGAGTTTTTTTTAACTTATTATTGTCAGAACTATGGGAGAGTGCTGCTGTTGTCCCTTAATGGGAGAAAATGTGTCACAATCATTTCTCTTGGATTTAATTAATGTGTGGGAAACCAGAGAGGTGAAGACAGTTGGAAGTTTGCTCACAAAAACATAAAGATCTATTAACACAATAGACAGCACCTATTCAATTAATCAACAGACTATCTTAAATATTGAAGATTGGCTGGAATGAAAATGTTTAGTGCAGGTTTTAAGACACCAAATGTTTACCTATCTCTCGTCTTGCCCTCTACTGAAAAAAAGCAACATGTCTTCAAGAGAAACAGTTTACAAAAAAATAAAATTAAACAAAAAACAACCCTTAAGCACATCAATCTTTATTAGAGAATATAAAACAACATTTTTTGGGGAAGAAATTTCATTAGACTTTCTCTAGCTGCTATTTTCACATGAAGAAATTTAGGAAGATTAATCAGAAGGAACAGAGTTAAATTTAGTCAGGCTATAGCAGGAGTACAGAATTGTTTATTATGAGAAAAGAAAAGTAGAGGATACAACTGTTTTGATTACTAATTACATATACACAAAAATAATGTTAAATAATCAGGCCTTTATTAATTTTATAAAGCTGTTTTACATCCTTGAATTGCAACTTATTTTGTTTTAAAATGAACAATTTCCCCATTCTTACAGAAGAAACACTCATAAAATATAAAATCATTTACAAATGGCATAACATCTAAATACCATTTCTGAGAAAGCAATTCCTTTTTTCCAGGTAGTGTGCAAAATTCTTATTTTAGCTCCATTTTATTTATAATAAATAAATATAATAAACTATTTATAATAGTACAGGTGGTGCTTGACTGCACATTACCAAAGATCAGCCAGCCAGAGATTGCCTGAATCATGAGATCATGAGCACATTCCACAAAATTAATCTGTCTTTCCCAACTTGACCTTTAAATTAAAATTTAAAGAAGGTGCTGGATATGTTGCAGACTCATAACTTTCATCTCAAAAAGCTACAGTTCTTAGAAAAGAGAATAAATTTAAAAAGTTTAAATCTGTGCAAGGCTGCTTGCTTGTGAAATCCTTACCAACTGTTTATTCATTTAAATTTATATTCCAGATTATATTTCTTTAAATTTCCAATTTTATATATCTCAGCTAATATTTGATATATTTATGCAGACAAAAATATGTAACATAACACTATTCTGCTTAATATGCTCAGTCTCACTGCTCTGCCAGACTGTAAAATGAAAGCATTCCTACATTCAGCCTAAATTTTTGTTCATTATAATTGCTTTTGTTTTTATTTATTTATTAAATTTATTTGCTGCCCATTTCCCCAGTGAGACTCTGGGAGACTTACAGATCATTGAAAGTTAAATAGAAAAGCAGCCAAGATTTTAACAGTATGCCAATTAAAACTTTTTAAATTATGCAAAACACCCCCCACAAAAAATACCAGAACCAAAAGGAATTGCTTTTAAAGGTAAAATGAAAAATGGAAAAGATTTCAAATAATGGATTAGAATTCACATCTGTACTACAAACTTCCAGTCTAACACTGTACTAGGGAATGTACCTTCAGACATAATTACTGAAACTTATTCATACACATTTCTAAATCCAAAATTGAATTCTGAATTTTGAAACTTGTGCAAAACCAACTATAGCTTCTAGAATGCAAATCTGGTAAGAGTTCTGGAAAAATTCAAATTCCAGACAGGATCACCCAGGCACTATATTAACTGATGGCTCCATTTCAAATGAAATTCAATGACATGGGAAGTAGATCCTGCTATATCTTCTTGTGATGTAAAAAACACATACTGATGCATGCCCAGTAGAAGACTTCCTCCTTCAGCCTTTACATTCACTGTGCCCAAATGTTCTAATTTTATTCCCTTTGTGCATCAGCACTTGTGGACAATCAATTGTTGCATTACTATCATGCTTCAGGGATAGTCTCTTCTTATAGGCAAAAGGGCAAGCAAGGCTATAATACAGGTCTGAATGAAAATTGTATGTTAGAATGAAAGGTGGGTATAAGTCATGTTCAGGAAAGATGACAAGGCCATCTTGTTTATATGTCTACAGAAGAAAGGAAGCATTCCACAGGAAAAAAAAAATAATATTGCAGAGGGTAGGACAACAATGGGCACCTCTAGAAGGAAGGCTGTATTGGAAAGATGGTGCTTGATCCATCACATGCTGGTTGCGTTGAGATATTATGAGTTGCTCTCAGTTATTATTCATAATCCACCAGGAAGCTAAAGGAAGAAATGAAAACATTTACAAACTTTAAAGAGGCAAACTAGTTTACACTAAGTTGTAATACATGATTCTTGACCTCATAATCTACAGGTTTTAGACTTAAAATAAGCCTTTTCCCACATAGATACAATGTGCTAAGCTTAGCATGTCTTAATAATTATGGCTTACAGTCTGGCTGTATTTCTATTTAGCTAATTAGTTATTAAACTGATTTTTCCACCCATCTTGCCAAAGGTGTAAAATTGCACAATTATGACCATAGTCTGAAAACGTTGCTAACTCTTAAAATAAGTTTTATCAAACTGAGAATTGTCACAGTGTCAAAACTTGTGTTTTGCTCACCAGAGGAAACTGAAAATCAGCTGTTTATTAAGCATTTCATGGAAAAAATCTATGTGGTTGCTAAGAGTTGATATGGACTTGATGGCATATAATCACTCAGCATTATCTTACCTGGGAACAGCATAGTGGTCAAGAGCTCTGGAGCATCCAAAAAATCAGTAATGGCATGCTGGAACTTCTTACTATTATCTGACTGTAGATGGCTAGAAACACATTTTTTAAAAAAGATTAATAAATTTTAGAACAGAGTGACTTTCTGCATCTAAGGGCAACAATTAGCAGGTTTTGTATATTTGAATGTCTGAACTTTGCTAAACCTAACAGGAATCTTTCACACACACATCCCCCATTTTGCTCATAAAAATGTAAATTACTTTTGTAGAATTGTATTTAATCTCGATATAAGTTATTGATGATTTTTAGGAATCACCTTCTCCAAGATACTATATCTTTCCATAATTCATAGAGGATGAAGGAGGTATCACTTGCCAGCTTGTGGGCAGACACACTGCAAGAAAAAAGGGAAGATATTAAGAAAAAATATTATTACTATATATCCATGCTGTGTATATAAATAAGATGGCTGTGTCTACAATCAGCCCACTCTTCCACCTCCTCCTAAATGATTCATGAATGAATTTCTTTTACTACTCTCAAAGAAAAGATAATTATTTTCATTTTTTATTATTCATTGTTTTCAATTATATTTCATTACCAATTATTTCTTTTTAAAGGAACATGTAACATGTTATGGTGGTGACATTAATTATCCAGTCTATATATACAATGAAGGTCCCTTCCTCACCACCACCATTTTATAGCCTTCAGAATCCATCCCACGCCAGCCCATAATTTGTCCTCATTGAGTTGCTTTTGGAACATTGAACTCCAAATATTCTGTTTGAAAACTCACATTACAGCAGTTTCTTTTTTTGCCATAAGTGAACCAGAAAGAAATTGGTGTGGGATGGGATGGCATGGAATCATGGGGGCATGAAAACAATACAAAGGTGAGATAAGCAACAGAATCTGAAGTTTTTATGTGAAAGGCTGCTCTTCACTTGGTTTTCAAGACAATGAAGAGATATAATATTTTACATTAACAGTAATCTATTATTCTGAAACTTAACTTAACATGACCCATTAAACAAATAGATCACAGTAGTTATATTTGTCCCAAGACTACTGCTAAAAATGCTACTCACATTGTCCCCTCCCCCTCATCCCCTGATAATGTTTACTGTTTTTTCTTATAGTCACCTAGAGAGTGGCAGAGAGTGATTTGGAGAAATACATACTTTGATGCCCCTGGAGCCTGGCAAATGTATCTAACAGGGGAAAAGATTGAGGGGACAGAACATGATACTAAGCTGGTGTTTTGTGCAGTAGTTTAATGTTGAGCGCAGATGTAACTCTACTGTAGAAGTTATATGTTTTATTCATTCAGTTTGAGTGCTGCTTCAACTCCAGCTGTCTCTGGGAGGCTCATAGCATACACAAAATGAACCAAAATAAGCACAGAAAATCCTCAAAATAATCATAAGATAGCATCCCAACAACAAAGCAAACATCATGCATAATAATTTCCATACTGAATGAAAATCAGCATTTAATTTAGTTTCTTCAGAATCTGTAGAGACTCTTGAGTTCCAGAATTTATTTTGTCCTACAGTTGCTAGCTGTAGACTGAACATTCCAATAAACTATAAAGATGGGTTAATATTCCAATTTGAAATCAGATTAATTTTCTTCATTTCAATGTGTCTGTGTGTGTACTTAAATGGTACTAAATGAAGCATTAATTAAGGTTGTTTCTTTCTTGCTTTTTTTTAAAGGTCACACTCTATTTGCAGTTATATTTCAGGCATGTTTAGTAGCATGTTTCAATTACCAAGAATATTCCTGAGCAGTTTTTATAATGATAGCACTAGGAAGAACAGGATGGGACTGAACTCAAAGCCACATGAGCACACCCTTATGAACCATATATTTGTTTTCCAAGTTTCTATTTCAACTGTACAGAAGAAGCAAGAGTACATTTTTGTAAAGAGTCTGCCTCTTGTATTTCAGAATCCATCTACTTTGTGGAGCTGTTTGTTGGAAAGTGAACTTCATGGATATTGGGGTTAGCATATAAAACAACACTCCATAAACATAAATAGTTTCCTTCAAATTACTGAGAGAAAAGTAAGGTTCATAATGCTAAAGAAAGAGAGCTTTGCTATCTTTTTCTAAATACACATCTCATGCAAGCTAATCAGTTTCTTGGAGACTTACTGTAGGCAACTGCTCTGTCCAGCTGTGGTTTCTGTGTAGGTTTGGAGAATTTGGCAAAATGCCACTAATCCACTTTCTGCCACTGAGATCTGTCTCTGAGCCACCAAGATGTGCTGCCAAAATGGGGAATGGGAAAGAGATAGCCAAAGGAGAAAAAATTTACAATTTATATCAATATGGACTTAGAAATACTATGCAAATCAGAAATAACTCTAAAGGCTCACCCACTAAAAGCAAGTATTCTTGATTCACATCCAGCCTGACAATCATATTTTACTAGTATCATCTCTGCCTGCCAATTGGTCAGCTATCCTCCCTTCTCCTCAGAATTCCAACGGAAGACTCAAAAAAAGTGGAATCACACTTAGAATTCTCCCCCTTTGCCCAATCTACTGGACTACCTCAAAGCGATGAGGGAATAGAATATCCACACTGGATATATCAGAACTATTAATAGAATTGATCAGGAAAGATGGGGGGTGGGGAATTAAGACAGCTAAAGCTTTTATTTCTGGAGAGAGGGAAGAAATGGCAGGAGCAGCACACAGGACAAGGTGAAAACTTTAGCCAATTGGCAACCAGTTGTTCTGCATTTCCAAAGCAAATGCAGTGAAAAGGCATCAGGATCAGGACAAAATGATTAGAGTTTTAAAAGTTGGGATAGAATACATACACATTTCCCTATCTTTGCCAAACTGCTGTACAACAAGCTTCACCCTTCAAAATCCCTGCACTATGGTGAACTAATCTATAGTAGCCTTTCTTTTATCCTCAGAGATTGCTGAATTTTTCTTGTATAGTAACCAATATATGAATTATTTTTATCTATCTATCTATCTATCTATCTATCTATCTATCTATCTATCTACCTAATCTCATTATTTCTACTAATACAGTTCTAATATATGAATTGGCTTGTTTATATAAACAAAAAGCACAGTCTAGAACTCACGGAATCTGTTCCTTTGCAGACCATATTATATTTCAAAGGCTCCAGCCTTGGGCTCTAAGAAATGCAGAATTATTATGAAAGGAAATAAGTTACAGAGTAGTTGAGATACATAATTGATTTCACATAACTGTCCTTTTCATTAGGCATTCACAATCATTTCATTATGCCCTTTCAATAGTCTAACCATGCTGGCTAGGCAGTCTAGGGATCATAGTCTTCTCACATCTGGGGAATGCTAGGTTGGGAGAGGCTAAGAGATCATTCAAATAGTCTGTCATTTACTTGTCACATTTGTTACATTACTACTGATATATATAGAACTGCATAAATAATTCTGTACTCTGCAAGCAACATTTCTCCATCCTTGGACAATTCTGGCAATAGAGAAAAAGCCATTTTGTTATAACCTGATTTAAAATTTCATTCCCAGTTCTCCTTAAAATATACAGCACCCCACCTGATAGGTGGGCAGCCTTTATGCATATCTCTTGCATATCTCAGAAATTATGTCTGAACATACTAGCCATACACAGATGTTTGAAACTTCCCTGGTTAATTTTGGTTGCTTTTGAACCTATTTTAAAACTTGGGTTCATGAACATTTCTTTGTAACCTAGATTTGTTATAGGCCTTTTGTAGAATTGAAGGTAATTCTTAAAAGTTGATCCAACTATGATATTAAATTCTAATTAAGAATAGAAACTCAGTACAAGAACTAATAAAACTTTCAAGTATCTCTGAGGAGAAAATTTATAACATTAAGCTAGGCAAGTGTCACTAGAGACAATTTTACTACATTTGATGCTCAAAGGCCCGTTTGGTATATCAAGAGAAAATAAGGACTGGAAAAATGAGAGAACTACATATTAACTATGTTGTGAGTTACTGAGTGTGTTTAGATACAATTCCAAACATTCAAATCCAAATAATCAGTGTCATGAGAAAATGCTTCAAGATAAAGTTCCCATTTTATCAATTTTTCAGTTTTATTTGCTGGCCCACCTTACATTCCAGTTTGTCGATGAGTTGTTGTAGCTGGGTAATTTCAGATGGCCACTGGCTATCAGTTTCCACACAAACACCTGAATGTAATCCAACAACAACAAAAAGACTCAGCTGAAATCACAGACAAGTAGCTTTCCTAACCAAGTGGAATATAGAAAAAACATTCTGGTAGGATTGAGTCAGTTTGGTATAGTGGTTAAGACATCAGGCTAGAAATTAGGAGACTCTGAGTTCCAATCTTGATTTAGGCACAAACCATATAGTTAATCTTGGTTGAGTACTTTCTCTCAGCCCTAGGAAGGAGGCAATGGCAAACCACTTCCAAAAAACCTTACCAAGAAAACTGCAGGGACTCCAGTCTACAAGAATCAAACATGATTGAATTAAAAAAAAAAAGGACTGATATATATATATATATATATATATATATATATATATATATATATATATATATATATATATATATTACACTTCTTCAGCTCCCTGCCCACTCTACTCCACAAAGGAACATTACTAGATTTTCTCTTATATTTTCCTTAAAACAACAAATATTGAATAATTTCCTGCTTTAGATAACAGAAGCCAAAACCTAGATTGGAAAGTGCTAAACCATTATAGGGATTATATTATCATTAGTGAGCATCCTTTCCCATGTCACTCTTGTGATGAAAACAGTAATATGGGACAGCCTTGGCATGTTGCTTATTCACAAATCAGAAATGCTGCTTTTTCAAGCTGTTCTCAAGATCATAGTTAAGCCTAACTGTCTAGTTAGATGTGATGGGGAAAAATGGTTAATCAGCTGGCATTTCTCCCTCAGTGTGTTCTTTGATAAAGGACATCTCATTTATTTACCTAAAAAAAACCATTCCAAACATTTTTACAAGCAAAAGTCTGAGAGGCCTTATATAGCTACAGCTGTGCAGAATATTAAGAAAACATTTCCTTCAATAAAGCCTTAGTAAAAGGGATCCCTTGAAGTGTGGCAATCCTTCACTATAAGAGTAAAGTTGAATCAATTTTACCAGTTTCAGTATCAGTGACTCAATAGGATGGAAAAACTTTATGGAAGTGAATCACTTCCACTTTACATACCACAAAATGTAATAAAATACTATATAACAAGATAACAATAAAATCACATCACACCAGTCAACAACTAAAAGCATTGTAGCTCAAACATTTGGTAGCTGAAAACTAGGAGGAAGGAATCAGCAGGAGTTAATATAATGATCTGAACGCATGCATGCATAAATAAAAGTGTATGTGAGAAGGAAAAAAACAAATAGGCACCTCAAAAATATCAGGGGAAACATTCCAGAGTTCAGGTTAACCACAGAGAAGGCCTGGCCACTATTAACCACAAGATGGCACTCAGGCAATCTTAAGAGATGCAGCAGGACCTTCGTGAGGATAATCTGTCAAGTAACCTGAGCCTAAACTGCCTATAGTCTTCTAAATTATAAGCAAAACTCTTCAGCTGGTGGCAGCCAATACAACTGCTTTTACAATGGTGCTACATGGTTATGATCAGGTATCCCACTCTACTACTTCCAGTTCTCAGATGAAGCACAAGGGCAGCTCCACACTGAGCACATTAGACCATTAAAAGCACCTTTCGGACTTCAAAACAATGGCTGCCCTGTGATGCTTATTACTATGTAAACTAGCTATGGTGGTGATCAAATAATTTGTGTAAGCCATTAGGTTACTGTTTTCTCTATTCAAACATTGTTGAACCTTTTTTTTTACAGTTAATTCTCTGCAGTAAAGCATGCTCATACTAATGCAAATCCAGGAATCAGAATGACGAAAGCTACCAATACCTGTGGTCAGCATCCCAGAATATGGATCTGTAGGAGAATAGCAGATGTTCTTCTGAATTCTTCGGCCACATCTTTTTGTAGTGTGTTGACCATTTAAAGCTTCTGATTTGTTCATATTATTCCTAAGAAGCATAACATTAAGACAGTACATATTCTAGGAATAATCACTAGCTTGCCATTTCTGATTCTGCTTGCATGATTCATCATTTTTCATGATAACAATACAAAGTGAGAAATAAAAGGCATGCTCTAAACATACATGTGAGCTAAAATATGTGGGCTTTCATTCATCTTCCTTTCTTTTTAACAGTTTAATTCTCCAGAAATGCAAAACATTACTGCAGAAATATTGCCAACTGAGGTTTTACTTCAGGGAGATTCAGGGATACTTCCGGGATACTAAGATCTAATTCTAATGATATTCTACTTATTTGTTTCCTCCCAGCTACAATTAACAAGTTGTATAATTAATTAAGGCAGGATTCCTACTGGTGATTTACAGTATCTTCTAGTGCAGAGGTCCCCAACCTTTTGGGCACCAGGGACCAGTTATGTGGAGAGAAGTTTTTCCATGGACCGGAGGAGGCAAGTTTTGTATGCTGCCTGCATCCTGCAGATGGGGTTTTGTTTGTTTGTGCGGACTGGTTGCTGGCATGCCACTGCCCAGTACCAGTCCACGGACCGGGAGTTGGGGACCCCTGTTCTAGTGCATGGGTATCAAACTCGATCGCATCATGTGATGTATCATGACGTATCACAATGTTTTTTGCCTTTGCGGAGCCAGAGTGGGTGTGTCCTTCATGTGACACATCCAGCCCATGGGCCACCAGTTTGACACCCCTGTTCTAGTGTATCCCAACAGTATTGAGTCAATACAACTATAATGAGGACAGGCTTTACATCTTCAACAGTGTGCTCATCTGGAGCATGCTTATTTTGTGAATAGTAAAGAAGCCCACACAAAGATGCAAATGTGGGGGAAGGACCTAAAATTGTAGATATGGTAGAATTAATCTTTACAGATTAGATGAGGAGACTTAGAAAATGATAGAAACTGAGTTCAACCTCACTCTTAATTTTTTGGCCTCTACTATACTGCCCAGGTGGTTGTTTTACCTTTCTCGGCCACTCTGTTCTTCAATAGTATCTGCAGCACACTCTAGGGAGACTTGCAGCGACTGTATCTGGTTCATTGTCTCCCGCAGAAGGAAGCGAGTCACAAACTGTTCCATCTTGGAGGAACTCTCATATGCCTGTAGGAGTTAAAGAGGCAGCTGAGTACTAATAGATAATTTCTCGTAGCACTGCTAGAGTAAAGAAAGAGAATATTTTTAGGTCAGTGGGAACAATTCAGTTTTTTAATAAATATAGCTGGTACTATCACAAAATGGCTACCATGCCAGAAGAAGAAAATATTGATTAAGACAGCTGCTTGTTAAAATGATTTTGGTCACTCCCAAAACATCCAAATTCCAGAAAGCAAACTAATGATATTGCATCCTGCCAACTCTTCTAGGCTTCCAATGTGTCCAGCTTGAGTTTTGGATAAATAGGCATACCTCCAAACAGAGGATTGGGTTGCAGGCACTACCACTTTTATTTTCTAATCTTTGGGGGAGACCCACAGACATTCTTGGAAATAATGATGATGCTAGACTTTGATAAAATGTTGGTAAAATGTTTCTTTTATTATTATTTTTTTTAAAAAATATTTTTTCAAAGACAACCCCCAAACAGGCAGGTGAAACAGGGCACTTTGGTGGTTTTCACAGAAATATCTGTAGGTGCATTGGTGCCCACAGAAACTATGTTGAATATTTCTGCTCAGTGCCTCTGACTCAGCTACAAAATTCTAGCCTTTTTTAAAAAATAGGACATATAGAGACATTATCCTTACATTAACTTATTAAAATATTTCATCTATTTTTTTCCAAGCAAAGCAATAATGCCTTTTTTCCTCATCTTGGAAAATTCTACAGATGTCTATAGTACATAAGTATCATAATCCAGAATAAGAAATAACTGCCTATATTATAATAAATAACAGACAAGATTTAAAAATGGTAGTTGGCCAATTGTTTGCAGTTGAGAAAAGAAGTGTATGCCTTGAAGAGTTGCAGACAAGAATTATGTTTAGACCCTTGCATATTCAGAAGTACTTATCCTTGTGTAAATCCACTGCACTAAGAATGCAATCCTGTATACATCTACTTGGAAATAAGAAGAATATATTTGAACATTTGTAGGTTCTATGCTTTATATAATTTAGTCTAAATCAGATTTAATGAAATTTCCTTTAAAAAATGTCTTTATATATTTAGCCAGCACAGTTCTATATACCTGAAAATAAAGGGTTTTTCTTTTTTTAAAAAAATAAATTTGATTTAGATTTTATTTTTATATATAGTTCTTATAAAAAACATTGATAATTTAAAGTTCCACTTTTTTTCCACTCTAAATAGGGCTACTTTATTCCATTCACTGAAGGACCAACAGTTACTCTAAAAGGACTACACTTTTTGTTGGCTTTGTTGCAAAAGACTAACATACTTGACTTTTGAAATTTTTTGAAAGAAAATTACATGGAGATTTGTGTGCTATAAACTGTGCCCATATTATAAAGTACCTAAATATCATTTGGTAATTTTAAGGTGACCAACCGTCCTCCTTTAGGGAGGACAGTCCTCCTTTTCTAAGTTCTGACCTCCCTCGAATAGTGTCCTCCTACATGTCCTCCTTTTCAATATTTGAAGACTAATCTGCAGGGCTTTTTTTTTTCCTCATAGAATGCTCAGAACGGCATTCCGACATCTTTTGGGGTTTTTTCAACTTTTGCATGAGCTGTGCTACTCCCCCTATTGGCTTTCGAAAGCCAATAGGAATTGCTGCTGAGCACTCCAAAACACCCGGCTGGTAAACTTTGCACATGCAAGTTGTCTGCAGCGAAGGCGAATTTGCAGGAACTTTGCACCCCTCCCTGCTACCCAACTACACCATCTCCTAGTTAGTCCCGAAGATACTTGGAGGAGACTAACTTCCATTTAGGGATGGAAAAATCAAAAAAGAGGAAATGCCATTTCAACAATATATTGAATAAGGAATTTCCATTCATCACATCAAAGAAAGGTAACATTGTTTTTTGCAATATTTGCAGCGGAGAATTTTGTATTGGGGGCAGAGCAGCTATTACGAAACACTTGATCACCAAGAAACATAAGCAATCATCAGATGCATCTGCTTCCAGTTGTAAAGTAACAGGTTTTTTTTAAAGTATTCTGAAGATGAAAAACAGTTAGCTGCAATGGAGGGAACATTTGCATTCCATACCATACCATAATTCACAATCAAATTTTTTGTAGTATGGATTGTACATCTAAATTATTGAAAAAGTTTCACAATACTAAATTTTCATGTGCCAGGACAAAATGTGAGGCTATTATTAAATCAGTATTTAAAAATTACTGTGACAAAATACTTACAGAAGACTTGGAAACTGCAGCATTTGTAACGGTTTTATCTGATACATCCAATCATAATGAAACTAAATTGTATCCAATACTAGTAAGATATTTTAATGTTACCAAGGGCATTCAAGTAAAAATTTTAAATTTAGAATCCACTGAGGGTGAAACTGCTGAAATTTTGTCAAACCATCTATACAGAGTAATAAATGAAAACAATTTGAAATCCAAAGTTGTTGCACTAACAGCTGATAATACAAACACAAATTTTGGTGGGCAAAGACGCAAAGGGGTGAATAATGTGTATGTAAAATTACAAGATTTACTCCAAAAGAAAATACTAGGAATAGGTTGTAATGCACATATTTTGTCAAATGCAATCAACACGGCATCATGTGCCATGCCAATTGATGGTAGAAGTAATAATAACTACCATTTATTTGTATTTTAGTTGTTTTACCATTCATGTGGCTACTTTAAAACAATTTTGTGAAGAAACGAATGTTCAATATAAAAAACTTTTGGGATATTCAAAAATTAGATGGCTTGCTCTAACACCTGCTATAGAGTGTGTTCTACAATTATTTGAGCCTCTCCGTTCATATTTTTTTTAAGTTTAGACAAATGTCCTAAAATCCTGGAATCGTTTTTCAGTAATGAAATATCTGAGATATTAATGTATTTTGTACATAATCAAGCATCTATTTTTCACAAAACGATTCAAAAGATTGAAGGTGAACACATTTCAGCTACAGAAGTTAGTCTTATTTTGAATGACTTTATTCTTCAATATAAAACTCGATTTGAAGAAAAATTTCTTCCTTTAGTTATAAAAAGAAAAGTTAGAGGAATCAAATCCAAGCATAATGGAAAAGTTTATCAAAGAAGTGCAGAATTTTTACCAAACATGCTTTCAATATATCAAAGAATGGTCTGAAACAAACATCGCAGGAAATAACAGTTTTCAATGGTGTTTTTTGACTTCATCGCAAGTATATTGGACAGATATTGAATCTTGTGTTGAGTTTTTATCTAAAGAAATGCCAGACATTAAAATAGACAACAATTGTCTCTTTGAAGAAATTAGAAGACTGAATATATTTTTAAATTCTGAAAAATTAATACAATGGGAAAATAAACGCGTTGAAATTGATAAAACATGGGTGGAAATATTCAGCCATTTCAAAAATGAACATGTTCCATGTGAAAATTTATTTATTCTTGTTCAATTTACGTTGTGCTGTCCTGGAACTAATGCAGCAGTTGAAAGGGTTTTTTTCAATTGCTAATAATTTTTGGAAAGGTGAGAAATCGAGACTGAATGTTGATACTCTAGCTGCAGCACTTGCCATAAAATTCAATATGAAGGATATTTCTTGTTCAGATATTTCCAATATATTGTTAGAAGATGATACATTGACAAAAAATATTCATTCAATGGAAAAATACTCATTTAAATAATAATAGGCATGGAAGCATAATTACAATATAAAATGTTATTGTTACAAATGTTTTTATTATGCATTTATCATATTATAGTGTATTCTGTATTATTGTTGCAACGAATAAAATGTTTCTTTTATTTACAATTTTTTTCTTCAATTTATTTGTGTCCTCCTTTTCATTGTAAAAAAGTTGGTCACTTTAGTAATTTGTTATGTTGACTTCACCTGAAGTTTTCTACTGCAATGAAATGGAGTACATAAAAGTACTTAACACTGAGCTATCCTAGAAGCAAAGAGCCTTTACTTTCCTGAAGAATGCAACAAAAGATCTTTTTAAACAATGAAACCACAACCCAGGCAATAATATATAGCTTTTATGCTGCCTTAGTTTTTTGCACTATGAATCAGCAACAAGGTTAATCCATATAAAACAGTTACTTCAATTTTCATCCATTCAGATAAATTACTACTAAGACCCTAGACATAATAGACTTGGCCTCATTGTATAACTATGGGTTAACTTATCTAGCGTTACTATTTCTGTCCTGAAATTATCCATACAATCTACCTATATGTTTAATAAAATATAACAATATAAACTTTTTGTTAATTGAATCTCTTGGAAGATGCAAATTAATATATTGCTAAGATCTGGTTCAGAACAACTCACAATGTTAACCAAAGTTTAAAATATGTTTATATATCCTCACTTGGCCCAAAATCTGGGGATAAGTACAGATTTCTCAGTTTGGATAAAGTGAGAAACCAATTTATTAAAGAATTGTGTAATTGTAGTGAAAAGGCTTAGGTCTTCAAATACAGGTAAAAATCTCATTAGTTTAGTAATAATAGTAGCAGTATCACTACTGTTTAGTGGTAATTGCATGTTATAAAAATATCTACATTGGCCTGCTTTCAATTTGCTTTTCAACTCTCCAACCCCACCCCAATTTGCAAGACAGGCAAAAGAAAATACACACAATTTAGTACTAGTTGTCAATTACTAAAAACTAAAAAAAATTCAGATACTGAAGGACATGAAACTTTGTTCAAAGTTCAATAAACCAAAGGTGCCTCTCATTCTTAGAAGAAAAACTATCTAGAACACAGGTGTCAAACTTGCCATGTCACTTGACGTGTCGCGATGTATCACAAATCTTTTTGCATTGCCAGTAATGGGGTGGGCGCGGCTTTAGTATGATGAAACTGGCCTGCGGGCCGGACGTTTGACACCCCTGATCTAGAACATTTATAATAGTGTTTTTTTTATCCCAGGAGTGTTCAGATCTGTTGAAGTCCTATCTGTCTGTCTATTTATCTGAGTGACTACACTCAGGTTAAAACTTT